AACCTTATAAAAATCTTAATCCAAACTTGCATAAATATACAGGGTGATGCATTTTAAATTTTTGAGAAAAACCACAATTCGCGTTTTTGACCACCCTGTATGAGCAAAAATGAAAATTCGAAAAAGTAAGAAATAAGATAAAAGCTGAGGTGTGTAATTTTTTTTTTTGATACAAAATTCAGCACTCCAAATTTCAAAATGACGGATTGAGGGGTTGCCGAAGAGGACGGTTTTTCTGGACAAAACACCTTACATCTCAGTAGCTAATTACCAAAACCCCATAGTATGTTATACCAATCTTCTTTTTTTAAATTGGTTTATCCAAATATGCAATAAAATTTAAGGCATTCCATTTAAAAAATCACAACTTTGATATGTAGGCCAAAATTTTGACACTCTGTATAATTGCCAATATTTTAGAAATGTGCCCTCAAATGTCATGTATAACAAGCCATAAATAGATTTTCTCAAAATGTATTTCTTTATGAGTAATATTCCGTCCACACATGGATGGGCCACCCTGTATATATATATATATTCGGCCGATTTCAAGCCCAAAATATGAAAAATTCGTTAAAAAAAAATAGTGCGTGCTGCAGTAGAGCCTGCATTCCCCACTAAGCAGCTCTCTGTACCTCTTATAATGTAATTGTAATACTCAGAAACGTTTTTAAAACACATCAAAATTTGAACAATCCTTACAAGAGTTTTTAATTTTACAATTTTTCAATACGAGCAGTACAAGTCAACATATGAGTTTGAAATAGTAATTTAATGAATTGAAATTTCAAAGAAGGGTAATCTTTTCTGTTTCTGACTTTGGTAATTTTTCAATAAATATCAAGCTGTCTTTTCAATATTTTATTGGTTACTCACCTGGTATTTTAAATAAAAAATGATCAGCAACTGTGTGTATCAATCTGTCTTTTATCAGCAAAACTTTAGCTAGGAGGTAATATAGATCTATAGGAATTGCTCCATGGTATATGATCAGTGCTGCACCATTTGCAGGCAGGTTTTCTATTCCTTCAATTTCGTAACCTTCAAAATAAATAAATTTACCTCAAATGATGAGGTTTGCTTATGACCTTGAATGCGATAGTGACCTTCAGGGTCATTTGAAAGGCTTAGAGAAACTGAAATGACTTCTGACTAACCAAATATGATGGACGAAAAAGTTTACCACAGACTGTGATCCTGATCAACGTCAAATTTCAAGGTCGTTTTTCATTTTGTGACCTCTAGTAGTGAGTTTGAGGTTATTTGAAAGTAAAATCGAGATACTGAAATTAATACTAGACCTTCTGGGAGTCAAATTATGACTGGCCTTGCAATCATTGATGTTTTTGGAACTTGTAGGTCTGTCACTTGAAGGCAAGCAAGCAAACCAATTGACTCTGACACTTGGCATTGAAAATAAAGCCTTGCAATTTGTATTTCACTTTGTCCAAAATAATATTCAGGCCAATCAGGTGATGAATGAGATTATAGGAAAGGTCAAACCTTTAGTAAATGCACTGTAAATTGTTTGTCATGTCTTCAATTTGTAACGCCAAAATGGATTTGCTAGATTAACAATCCTGGACTATCTTCATTGACAAAGACTAAAATGTAATGCCAATAACCTACATAAATTTGCTGAAATATAGCTGACTTTGCTAAAGCACCTTACTGTAAATATTGCAAAATTGTGAAACTTTCCCTTCTTTACTAGGTATATATTAATAAACTGAATACAAATGTTTCTCAACTCATCACAGCTATGACCCAGTTGAATATTATTTGTTCAATAATTACCAGCTGTATAGTCAGAGGAATAAGTACTAACAAGAAAACTATGTAGTCATTTGAAATACAAAATGTCTAACCATGCCATATAAAACCGTGGGTATCCCAAATAGCACCAACAGACTTTCTTGCTGCCCTCCCACTTATCCCCAACTTGTAAAGTTGCCTTTATTTTCTCCCAATGCCTCCTCTTCAAATACAATATACATGCTGTCATATACAACAAGAAGACTATGAATAGTGGAAGCAAAAATGTAATAAGAAGGGGAATAAGCACCATGTTATCCATAATGAATAGTCAATATCTGGAAAATATAAAAATCTAAAATTAATTCATTTCCTGTTTGCTAACAATTTAGTGATGAAATATGTACTTGTTCTAAGTAAAACTGAATAAAGCTACCAATTTTCATTCAAGCTTCACATATACAGTGATTTGCATATTACAATGATTAATAATTGATAACAGTAGTTTTGAAAAGTTGGTTACTATAATTTATAAAACACAGGTACTGTAATTATTGTGAAATAATTACTAACAAATAGAATTATGTGATTTTAAGGACAATTTTCACTTACCAATTTGATCCTTTAAATACCTAAATTCCGTCAGGTATCATTTTAAACTTAAGTACTGGCTCATTAGCTTATTGCGTCCCAAATACCTATTTTCAAGTAATCTAGATCATAACTGGGTATTGTGAGGAGCACTTATCATTCAAAAAACAATTTTTGTTACAATTTTCATAGACTATTCTCTTAATATTCATATTATCACTTCGAAGAACACGTTTGCACTACCTATCACTTGCATGTATGTTTACAAACTGAATTAATTAATCACGTTATCAAAAAAGTAATCATAAAAACAGGAATAAATACAGCTTCAAATGAAACCAATCAGCTGATTTATGTTCCATGTGGCGTTGACAATTCTGTCAATCGTGACATACAAATACAAAAGTGAGGTTAAAGCTAAACATTTCAGCAAAAGGATTAACAGAAAACGAACAAATAAAAACCTACAAACAGCGCTGGATGCATCAGTAAAACTCACTTAAAACATGTGAACTTGTTCAATACATGTACAAAATGTTGAAAATTCGCAATTTTTTGGGAAGATCTTCCCAACTTCGCAGTTTCACATCCCAATCCAAGCCACAGTTGAATGAGATCTCACTCCTTGGCCAAAATTTCGCCAGAGACGATTACACGAACATCACTGATAAGATATGCTCATACTTAGGAATGAACATTTACCTGGATCAGAACCATCCATTGAGTTTGGTGAGACAACGCATTGTGAACTATGTCTACAAAACCTTCACAAAATCTAGAGGCAATCCTGTGTTTTCAGTGTTGATCGCTTATCTCCTGTAGTGAGTACGAACCAGAACTTTGACAGCCTGTTGATACCAAAAGATCATCCATCGCGATCAAAAAGTGACTGCTACTATGTCAATAGAGACTATTTGCTGAGAGCACATATGACAGCACATCAGAATGAGTTGCTTCGGGCTGGCCTCAACAATTTTCTTATGATTGGAGATGTCTACCGTAGGTAAGATCCACAATTTTTTTTAAAACCAGAATCCACTTACCTTTTTTTATAAGTAAGCAGTATTTTTATTTATTAATCTAGCACTATGTAGGTTAGTAAATCATAAAACTGGTCTTACTTGCTTTATTAATGATAGATATGGAAAATGATTGAGGATATACAGTGAACTCTGGTTATAAAGTAATTTTTTGGGAGAAAAAAATGAGTACTTAACTGGAGGTACACTATAAAGGAAACCCATAAAAATAAATATGTAATTTTTATTTGGTTTAATTAAAGGACTAAACTAACTAAAATACATTCTAGGTTTGTAATACTAAAAAGATATAGTAATATGAATATGTAACATATAACATTGAAATAGGACATAATCAAAATTAAATATGTACAATTAGATATGTAATTATGCATACAGCTATGATTTTTCGAAAAAATAACTTGTTATTTTTCTTCCTTGATTTTAGTTTGACTCTACAACTTCAGCAATAATGTCACAATCCGTTAAGGTCTCCAAAGCTACCAAATTGTCTTCGATGGTCGTGAAATTATCTAGTCCGGGAAGATATTTTTCCACAGTAGTTACATCTGGGCAGTGCCTTCGTAACCAATCACTTAGGGGGATGTTCCATCCTACGATTTATATTTACTTGCTTCCTTGATTTTTGCAAGATTGCACCAAATTGTAGAAACTGTTGTTTTTGTCATATTTTTCCTTCTTGCAATTTCCGATTTGTCGATGCCACTCTCGATACTTTTGAAGATGTTTATCTTTTTTTTTCAAACTTAAACATCTACACGTGACTTTCATTTTTACAAAACAATAAATACTAAAAATTCGCACAGTTAAATGCAACGTCCAATCTAAAACTACCTGACATCTCATTCCGCGGTATAAAAATTCCCAAAGTCGATTACCAAAAATGACTACTAGGTGGGAAAAAATATTGAACATTATAGATGTAGTTAAAATTCTAACCAGTTCGGGTCCAATGAAATAAATACGTAATAACCTGAATTACGTTATATCCCATGCACGTTATAGACAGAGTACACTGTAATAGGTTCTGTGCTAGCTGGGATCCATTTTTGTCACTTGCTTTTTGTCCAAAAGAAATTTTTTCTTCGCATGACTCATCATTTGCGATCCAGTAATGAAATTAGTGTATCTTCATTTAATTTTAGGGATGAAATTGATAGAACACATTTCCCAGTATTTCACCAAATAGACGCTGTAAGACTTAAAACCAAAGATGAGCTGTTTGAAACCAAAGCTTTATCAATTTTTGAGGAGGGTGCTAATGAAGCTTTTACAAGTGATCAGGGAAAACAGGCTTGCCATTCTCTAGAAGCAGTTAAACTGATGGAATATGAATTGAAAGAGACCCTTGTAGGTCTAGCCAAAACTCTGTTTGGAGATGAAATTCAGTATCGTTGGGTAGATGTTTATTTTCCTTTCACTCAGCCGTCGTGGGAATTGGAGGTTCATTATGACAACAACTGGATGGAAATATTAGGTATATATACACTCTAACGCATCATTTTAAATGATTGTAAATAATGTTTGTCAAAAGTTGCAAAGCTGTCAACAGCTGATTGCTTTTGTAAAAAAATATGGATTATCTTGAAAAAATCGTGGAAAATGAGGACGTTTTCGGTATTTCGGCGGAGAAATACCGAAAAAATCGATAGGTTCGGCAACACTGGGGGTGACTATTAAAATCATAAATCGCCATTGTGTGGTGAAAGCCATATTGGATTTAAAATTACGTTTTTATATTACCTTCTTTACGAGTGTCCATTACGGTAGAATAACAGCTAATGTAGTAATATTTCAAAATTCCCCATATCAACATATGACACATTCTTCTGACGGATCCGTCAACGCCAGGTAGACAGAGCTGAATTTTGTTTTTTTTTCGTACTCTACAGATTCTAACAACTCTTTTATTTGGAAGAAAAGTTCAATTGAATAAAAAAAACGCTACAAGCAACTTTTACTAGATTTACACCCGATTAATTATTGCAAACGTTACAGTCTAATACAAAAATGTCACTTGCTGATCACCTCAGTAGACGTCAAATCATGATGGAAACTCGTAACATGGGGCTTAGTATCTCTCTCAAGTTCTTTCGTCTGACACTCATGAGGCTATTATGGAAATGATAAATCGCCATTTTGTACTATCAGCCATATTGAATTCAAAATGGCGAAATTTAATTTATTGTGTATTTCCATGAGAACCAAGTGTGTATAAAATTGTAGCTCAATTGGTCGAGGTTAACTGACAGGTTAAATTTAAATAAAAACTTGTACAAAATGAGACCATAGTTTTGGGATGACCCTCGTATAATGCTAACCTATTTTGTCGGTTTAGGTTGTGGAATAATGCAACAACGAATCCTTTCCAATGCTGGAGTAACAGAAAAAATTGGATGGGCTTTTGGATTAGGCTTGGAACGCATTGCAATGTGCCTGTACCAAATACCTGACATCCGCCTATTTTGGTCAAAGGACACTGGCTTTTTGAATCAGTTCAAGACAGCAGATATCAACTCCAAAATAACCTACATCCCTGTAAGCCAATATCCTCAATGCAAAAACGACTTGAGTTTTTTGGTTACCAGAAAATGGAGATTTTTCAAGCAATGATTTCTATGACATAGCCCGAAGTGTTGGTGAGGATTTAGTGGAGCAGATTGAACTAGTGGACGATTTTAAACATCCAAAGACTGGTAAAAGAAGTCATTGTTATAGGATCACTTACAGACACATGGAAAAGACTTTAACACAAGCCGAGGTAAATTTGGTTCATAAGAAGATAGAGGAAGCTGTAAAAAATGTTGGCGCGGTTGTAAGATAGTGGAATAAAGTAATTTTATTTATTTTGTAAATTTTTTTGTCAAATATATTTTATAAATTGCATATTTTGTATCTTTATTTAGTTTGCGCAAAAGTGCAGTTTCTATAAATGTTGCCACTACACCAAGAGACAAATTCTCCAGGCTATAATAAGGTAGTGGGAAATTGAAAAACAAACTTTAAATAATGTTTTATATTACTTTAAAATATCAGCTAGTATTTTCTCAGCTTTATCACCCTTATTCAAAGAATTCTTCCAATCGTCCCTACTTCTCTTGAATAATGCTAGATTCACTTTATTTGAAATGATCTGTCCAAATGGTGTATTAGCCCAAGAGGCATCCTTTTTAGACAATTCTTCCATGATCATAATTTTCAGTTTCAACTGAGCACCATTCCATAAAGCCTCGAAGCTTCTTGAACCATATTTGGTAGATGCCAATTCTTGATATGAGCCCATCAACTTTCTCACTAACCTCTCTCTACTTTTCTCACCTACAAATTCTCCTACAACAAGGATAAAAAAGTTCACAAAAAGTAGAAAAAGATAATTATGTAGCAGATAGAACTCAAGTATGGTCACATACAAAATAATATCTGCATCAAATATTTTACATTACCTTTCATATAAGAGTCTGCAATGTGACTTCCCATAGTATTAGAAAACAGATTTTTCAGGTCGTTAGCATCCAAACTTAGGATACTGTTTACTAATTTAATAGGTTTGTTAAAATTCAACAGCTCTTGCACTATCAGAGTTCCATGTAGGTTCAATTTTTCCTTGTGGATATTTCCAGTAGGCATTTCTATAGTTTTATCAAAAGTAGTAAATCTACCCAAACATAAGATAAAACTCTGCTGCTTCTCTTCAGGTTGGAAACAATCCAAGGCTTTCATCAAGTTTTGTGCAAAGCTCCCTTGTAGTGTGCTAAGACGTTTACAGGACTTTGCTAAGGCAAGGATTATTCCTGTAAATAAGGACACAAATATAGGTACTCTAATCTAAAAGATTATATTTCTACAAAGCAATTTCATAAGTGGTAAAAATGGCAACATTGTACTTGATGGTTGACTGTGATTTGGTGGAGCGTTCAGCATAGTGTTTCTTACTTTCACTCTCATGTCCACTGATTAACATATTCTACATTAAGATAGCCAACCATATACTGTATTCTGGGGCCCAGAAAATGATCAGAAATATGCTAGTGTCACCTATGAGACAATACAAGATCTTGGAAAGCTGCTTTGAAAAGAGTTAGAGTGTTTGATCCTGCTGCTATCTTGTAGATGGTGCTAGGTTCTTCAATTTCTCTTCAGTGAATCTCTAATGTATATTGTAATGAAGTATCTTCAGGTGGAATACGTAAATTAATGCTTAAATATACCCAATTAAAATAGGCATAAATAAGGCTACCTATATATGGGAAATACTTTGAAATACATATTTTACAGGTTACAGCCCAAGCAGCTTGCAGTAGGCTTAAGGGAATTTGAAATGTGGTTTATGACACAGAAGCGCTCAGTCGGTGGTCTGACATCTCTGATATTAATATATTGTTGCATTAAAATGTTGAAACAAAAATGTCCATTATTGCATTACTTTGAATATTGCATTTCTTTGTCTGAAATCAATCTCGTTCACACTAACCATGAATAACCTATACTTCACACTACTTTCACTCGGGCTATGGGTTTAAGCTTCTATGACACAGGCTGTATGTAACTTTGTAGCACTGTGTAAGATAATTATAGATAATAAAAAAAGTTTAAAATAAATATGGCAGTATTACAGAGTTTTTATAAGCTGAAAAATTCACATTCCAAGAAGCCTCATTTAAAGGCCTTACTATCAGCAACAAGTGTACTTACATAAGTACATAACAACTAGAACAATTATTCTTACCTGTATGTCCTGCTTCTATTATATCTTTGAAATGGTCTGCTAGCTCTCCAAATATTTCTTCAAATAATTCCTTTTCAGGACAATGCTGTACGATCTTCTGAACAGCAAAATTTGTATTACGAGTAATTGCCAACTTTTGTAGTCTTCCAGCAAAATAATGCTTATACAGCTTTTGAAACATTTTGCCCTTACATAATTCTATGGAAGTTTCTAACAACATGATCAGAGATTTTGAAAGAAAAACTTTTGGAAATCCTCCTGTCTCAGGTCCATCAGATTTGAATGACTCTTTTGTAAGTTTTTTTAAGTATATTTTAAGCTGATCTTTATCTACGTTAGTTAAGTGCTTTAGCAGAATTTGCAGAAATCCCGATGTTAGCTCTGTCTGACACAATTCATTGAACTGAGGCCATGCTATCAATCTTGTAGCATATTCTTTCAAAACTTCAGAACATTCATTATCTTCCATTTGCAAAAGTTGCTCTATACAAGTTCTAGTTACATGATTGCCATAAGTATCCCATATGTAATCCTCAAGATTATTGAGTAAGAATTTGCTTACTTTAAGTATAAAACCTGTGAACAAAGTCCTCATTTCTGAATTGGTTTTTTCATCTTTTGACCTCTTACATGCTTGAACTACCATAGATTCAAGAACATGACTTGCAAATCTGTCGTTGCATAAAGGCCGGAGCTCTGCACAAAATGCTTCAATGTATTTTGCCAATACAGAATCATTGGCAAAGGGAAGTAGTACCTCTATAACACGACATCCTACTTGATTTCTGCTGCAATTTATTTCTGAATTTTCGGTTTGTTCAAAGACATTGTTAACAAACACAATTTTATCCTCATCGTTATCAAACCCCTCTCTGTAGGCCTCCATAATCCTCACGAAGTACTGGTAAGTATCTGCATCCAGTTCAGAACCCCTACCATAATATCCTTTTTTCGCGTACTTTCTCGCATTTTTAAGGAACGACTTCTTTCGTTTCTTGTTACGATTTCTGTTAACAGAAGATTCAGACATAATTCCTGAATGTGAAAAATGGAAAATTTTAATATTCCAGCTTTCAGAACTTTTGAAATGTCGACCAATGTTGACACCAACCAAAAAACAACTGAATTATAACCTGTAAAAATGAACATGTGAAAGCATAGAATAAGATTGCTTTAGAGACAACATTCCTTTGGGACATAGATAAGACCGCCATTTTCACTCCAATTGTTTGACCAATCAACAATAGATGTGGAAGTCCCCCCCACCTCTTTCTTTTTGAGGATCCATTGAAAATGTTATTCTTTCTGATGTTTTAGCATCGTTTTTCTTAAGTTCTATGTTCTATGCTTGTCAATTTTGACATTATGTGTGTCTTGACATCTTTATAACCTATAATGTGAAGGCACCTTTTTGAAAATTGAAGACTTTCTATATATCCTTTCAAACAATTAAAGAAATTCAGGAGAAGATAATTACCTCAATATAGAGTAAAAAGATGACTGTAAGCAGAGTTGTGCACGAAGGTAGGTCAATTCGTAATTATTATTTATGTAATTAAAGTAACAAAACTAAATTATATAGGTAAACATATCATGTCTGAAGATGAAGGTAACAGAAGCAGTGATGCTGATGATGAAATGGATGATGGAGAAGGTAGAGAGGTATCGAATGCGGCGTGGGTGGATTCTATTTCAAAGATTTTAAACACAAAGAAACCCAAAAACAAGAAGCACATTGTACTTTCAAAAGCAAAAACACTTTCTGACCTTAAGAAGAAAAAAGTGAAGCCTGTAGGTTTTGAAGTTGAGACAGCTGATGGAGAAGTTAAGAAGGAGGTGATTGAAGAGCCAGAAGAAACAGTTCCAGAAAGAACAAAGAAAAAGGTATTAAAACATGTTGTCATATAGTTAGTTAAACTCTAGATACTGTTATTACATACTATCAACTATCAAGTAATTTCTCATAACAAAGATGCTATAAAAATATATTTTTTTAGAAAAGGGATATATTGAACATAAGAGTTAAACCAGATATATTAGAGAAAGACAGAGAGAGGACCTTACAGAAAATTGCCACAAAAGGTGTAGTGCAGCTCTTCAATGCTGTCAAAATGCAACAGAAAGATATTGGTATGAAATTAAAGGAGGCTGGATCATTAGAAGTAAGAAAGGAAAAGGTTCTGAAGAACATTGACAAAAGGGCCTTTTTGGATGTGCTGATGGGTGAAAAATCTGACAAGGTTTGTATACTGATCCAACAAAGCTCTAACCTGTACCTAACACAGTTTTACTCAGGAATTTCTCAGAATATACATATTTATGTTTTATGATGTCCACACAAAATGCCAAAGTACTGTTTATTTTTTAGGTTGATGAGGCTCTACATAATAGGCAGAAAGCTGAAACTAAAGATACCTCATGGAGTGTGTTGAAAGAAGATTTTATGATGACTGCAAAAATGAAGGACTGGGATAAAGAGATGGAGTGTGAAACTGAAGATGTACAAGAAGAAATTGAATCTGATTGAAGAAGTTGTTTTTATTAATTGTATATTGTTGTAAATATATTTTTTCTAAACATTAGCTTTCCACCCCAGTAATGACGGAAAATATTCCAATGATTTTAATAAAAAAGTAATTAAATCTGTTTTCCTTTTACTGGCATCTACTTATCCTAATGTAAGTTTAACATTTTTCTTTGCTCAATGTGGTTTATTGAACATAAGTACCTTATTAAGCAATCAACTAAAAGAGTTGTTTTAGATTAGAAACACTTCTCTGTAAAAAAGCATCTCTGCTGGGCAAAACAGTGCATGAGATACCAAGTGGATGTGTTATACAATTGCTGAAACAAACTACCTTTTTCCATAAATGTATGTTGATGGGGCATCCGAGGTAATGCGAAATATAAGGGTTATTGAAACAAGACAGCACAAAGTACCGTATGTTACCAGAATCGTCCACTACGAAAATGGAAACGGCAAGCTTTTTGTTGGAACTGTATCCAAGTTCGCGTTGTCAGTCTGGTCACCACTGTGGCCGCTAGATGCTGCCGATTCTGGAATGTAATTTGGTGGAGGCACCCAAGACTTGTAACATAGCTCTCGTTGGATCATCTATGCATTTTCCTATACACCCGCCAATGTCCGAGAAAAATTTAGATAGTGAAAGCAAAGGGAGGAGGGTGGTGGTGTTGCAAACGATATTTGCGGCTGGTAATTTTTCAACTTCTGGAACTTATCCTGTTACTCCTTAAATCCATTGTGTTCCATCTGGTCAATAATGCCAGCATGAAAAAAAAAACGTGGAAAATTCTTAGAAATCCTCAGAAAGGCAATATTTTATTATTATGAGAACAAAATAAGTACGTGGTATTTATGATTAACTGGTGTAATGAGATTAAAACATGAAAAACTTTGCTCTGTTAACAGAAAAAAAAAACATGTTGAGCGACTCCGAGACATATCCCAAACTATTCCACACAAAACAATGTCTTTGATGTCGAAAACGATCATGAGACAGAAAAACTCACAATATCGTATGGACGCTAAACGAGACAAAGAAGGATGTCTATAGACCATCTATAGATCGTGTCTTGAGACCGTCTCCAGACTGCCTATAGACAAATTGCGCGACGGGGTCTACAGGTGGGTACTGAGCTTAAGAATTAAGACTAAACTGCCCATTAAACAAATCAAGTAATTCGTGCAAATACTGTCACAATCAAGCACTTCTATTATATCAGCAGGTGATAAAAATATCAATAGGTATAGTCAATTATTTTTTGAAATTCAATATAGATGTTACAGTTATTCTTCAGACTTTCGTTGTCGAACTAAGATTTACGGCAAAGTTGTTTTCTCAATTTTCGAATCGGTGTTGATCGCATGTAAAAATGTTGGAAATCTTTATATTCACGTGTAGTGCAGAAGCTCTGTGATTTATACGAATTCAATATATCAACATAAGTAGACACAAACGTGGGAAGAGATGCGGGACGTGTGGTATTAACTTTGAGCATTGATCGACGCATTTTCTGGACAGGCCACAGGCGGACCGCTAAGCAAATCTCATAAACGTCAAATTCTAATTTAGGAGTTCATCTAACATAGTGCTTCGCTGCAACACCAACCCCGAACAAAATCAGTCAAGCTTTACACGTTTTTCAAATTACTATTGAGCAACAAACAGAACATAAACCACATTTTAAGTGCAATCTGTATAGCTAATAGATTTGTCACAATACTCCTATATACGTATAAATCGCAAGAATTATGCTGTAAACGTGAGTGATGTCAAAGAGGGACAACGTATTAGATTGGCCTGTATGTATGTATGTATGTGGAATCTTTGAGCATAATTTTCAACAATTTCCAGAAGTTTGATTAACAGTTCTCCATTATCCTTATTATCCAAAGGTGTAAAAATAATTAGTAATATATTGCGTTTATGGTTAGTCCATCTCTGGCGAACTAAATGAGTTGAGTCTTCGCCTAAGTTCTAACACAGCGTAGCTTAACTCTGACAAAATTTTGAAAGAGCCAAAAAAAACGGCGGATCTTTGGATTCCCTCTGACTGTAATGCATAACTTACGATCACCTTTCAGTCAAATGAAACCAATTTTCTCTGAATTTATCTGTCAAAAAGTAAATTTTCTTTTCTCACAGCGTTAAAGGCGCACTCGAAAATGTCTTCTTATATTCCTGTTCGAATGTCTGAACTTTCAATTAACTACCTTAATCACGGAACACATGAGGCTCAATTTCCAATAATACACATGAATGTTCGCAGCAACTGCTCCTAAATCCAACGGCGGATCCAGGATTTGTGTCTGGGGGAGGGTCACACTGGTCAAAGAACTTCATGTTCAGGACTGGCGGACGACGGATGGCAGATGACAACCCTACCCTTGTACCCTTAGGGTACAGCCTAAAAGTGATTAAAATATTAAATCTAATTTAAAAATGAAAAATTTATTGTTAAATGAAGTGAAGTGAAGTGAATGATGTGTTTGGTTTTTTGATGCCAGCGAAATTAGTCAACCTAAAAGAAAATGAATTAGAAACCAGCGTCACTAATTTGATAGAAAAATATTCGGAATTTTTCATCACAGATCTAAGATATGAATTAGCCAGTTTTACGAGCATGTATTTTTCGGAAAATCGTAATTTTACTAATGACAGCCCGCTAGATTATTTGAAGTTCATGATTGCAAACAATTTTGTAGACAGTTTTCCAGAGAGCTGCAGATTATTGACATTATGTTTGACTCTGCCTATTAGTTCAGATAGTGCTGAATGTGTCATGAGCTCTTTGAAAATTATTAAAGAATACCGTCGAGCTTTTTTGGCTAAAGACACACTCAGCAACTTCTCTATCCTCTATATCGAAAGACCAATTTGGATTCAGCAATGGACATTTTTGCTGAACGAAAAGCAAGACGCGGATTGAAATTAGAATAATTCTGTTATTTTGTATTGAATAAAAAATGTTTGATCTCACAGTTTCTACTTGATTCAGGTTATATAGACATATAGTAAAAAACAGAGGTAACAGTGTGCAGCAGCTACTATTGTACATATAATTGTAAGCCCCTGTTAATATGTGACATCCTTATTCCAGCAAAATCTGTAGGTCGAACTTTATCTGACCAATTTAGATGGATTTTATGTTATCGAAAAATTTTAGATTCGCGTGAATACTGAAACAGTTGAATTAGCTATTTTATTGGCACGTTGAAGCAGCATCAGATTAACTTTTTGCATCAAATTACTATTAAAAAACCTTTGGCACTATTCATGAGAGCTTGTTTCGGTTACTTGTTCAGGACTTTTTATTTTTTTTTCTCAGTTGCCGTCATTAATTTGCAAATAGCGATAAATAAGGTGGAGAATATCCCGTTCGCAAATGTATATATACATATATCCTGTAGTAATGCACGTTGTTTAACGTATTTTAGTGTTGTTCACCAAGTTTGTATTCCATGAAATATTAATCACGGCAAAGATGACAACAACTACCGATCATATTTGTTTTATTTTTCTTAATTATAATTGTATGCAAATTCTATAAATAGCGTGCACTCCTTGGTCTCGACGCCCTTTACTTATCGGTAGCATCCGTGATAACTTTTAAACTCTATTATGCACAAGAAGTTTGCTGGTTTAATTTACTTCAAAAAATTACGATGCGCATTACAACCTGTCCCGTGCCCGTGCGCACTATTAAATGCAAAAACCAGGCTGATGCACGATTGCACTAATATGACATTACACATTAAATTTTGATATTAATTTCTGAGTTATCATGCAACTTTAAAAGCTTCCATTGCCGTATTTGATTTGTCAATAATTGGAGTACTTTATGCTATTCGCAAAACAGTTATAGTGCGCACTATTTGCCGTCTGTCCCCGATCATACCACTGGGCCCCCAGTGCATATTGCCGACCGGGCCCTTGTCCTTAAATCCGCTACTCGTCCGTCAAAAAGTATTTTTTATCAAATTTGCTCACAGCTTTAGCGCGCGCGAAGAACTTTTTCCTACATCAAGCTGACCGCATAGGCAACCAGTCTTGCGCTATCATCTATGAGCTTACAGTTAAATCAAAGTCGACGGATGCAGTGCTGCAAGTGTTTATTAGAAAATACCAGTACAACATCCATTTAATATGTGTGCATCACAGATTTATCTAAGAGGTTTGGAACTCTAAAAATTGGTTGACGAACTAAATTCTCCTGCGGGGGGGGGGGGGGGGTCATGGGGGTTTATCAGCGCCTGTGTAAATCACTATTCTGTGTTCCCTCTGGAGATTAATTTTTTTCGCGGCGTAACTGCTTTTTGAATGAACCATATATACGATTTAAGGTTTGTGCTGACTCTAAGAAAATGGATTTGCTCGGCTGCCTTTTTTCGGGAAATCAAGAAATACATTTCTGCAGTATTTTTGTAGCACAAATTGTAACACGTCAGCAGCATTGCTAAAATGACCGCCTGGCATCCTTGACGATAATAAAGCAATTCACAATAATAACAATACTCGGTGCCTAAAAGGTGCAAATGGAAATGTTTCATTAGTTTTTGATATTTCTTAAAATCAACAAGATTTGGCCAAATTTAAGTTTTTCCCAAATATCTCAGTATCCCATGAAATTTTTACAAGTTTTTCAACGGAATGTAAATACACCCCAAAGAACGCAGCTTTTTATTTAATTTAACATAAGCTGTATCTCCTACAAGTAATGGGATGAAAGGATCCTTATTTTGCAGTCTGTATAACACTTATCGATACAAGGATTTGCTTTCATCCAGTTTAAATTGCTTTTTGCAATCAACAAATTTTCGACAACTGTATGGAATACTAGGACTGTATGGAACCCAGGACTTTTATGTTTTCGTACGAAATTATTGTGAAATGTCAACAACTGTCAAACTGAACTCTTAAGCCTATTCGACTTGTAGTCTGAACTTGCATCCTGACTAGAGAATACGCAAATTAGGCTGCATACAAAACGTATGCTCTTACCTAATCCGCACGAGTATCATGTAAAAAAACCTACAACAAAAAAAAAAAAAACGTATAAGATGTCAACTTGCAGACTAGGTAGTTTTTAGGGCGCAAACAGTGAGTCCACGTTTGCTCACTAGGATCGCTGTGAATGTCCATCTTTGGAGGAATCACTCATCTAAACTACGCATTATTGGTTGCATAGTTTTGTAAGGCTGAGTGATCCGTGTCTGTAGTTTTCATCTCTGAGAAAAAAGTTGGTTGAATAGCAAGATCGCATCTGGATGATATGTGTATTGGTCTGCATGTGTATAAAATCAGTGATATTTTCTGTGTGAGAAAATCATTACTGAATATGCCGAATTTGACGGGTGCTTTCTGAAGAGAGGTTATGTTCAAAGTTAAAAATTACGAAAAACTGAGGAGAATTACGGGAAATCATCACCGTGCCCGCGTTGTGTGTAATTACTGTTAGCATGTATATGGCTTGTAATTCGACAGTGTACAGTGAATATAATTATTGCTTATCTCTCTCATTTTTGAAATTCAGCAGATTTGTAGGTATATGTAATTTCCAGAATGCATAAGAAAAAGTGGATGCGCAACTAATTTCTAGCTTTGAATCTCAAGTGTATTTGAGACAAGAACCCAATGTAATTATCATCAACACATACAACTTACAGCTTGGACAAGTCTCATGACGTTTAGGCAACACGTACAACTAAGTGCTAAGTTAACATCTTGTAGAATAACCTACATAATGTCAAAAAAAATCGGCATTATGTCTCTTTTCAAGATACGTGATACCCGTGCCGAATTAGCTGAATACAGCGAATGTTTTTACTTCACGACTTCCTCTCACTTCATTTTAATCTATACAAAATCAAATGAAACACCTCTTATTGGGTGTTCTATTTTCTTTGTCACTGAGTATATATCGTTCACAATTTTCCTGGAATAATTAATTTCTTTCCTGGATACGTTATTTGACCTGTTAGCAAAGTATGCACTTTTATTGAACTTTGTCGAAACGCTGTTTACTTTATAATTGGGGAAGGCTAGCACAGGCTACCAATTACTTGAAATTAACCCTGAGGTGACAAGTGTACTTATCGGAATTTTAGCTACACTCACAGCTCGGTCGTTAGTCGGAAATGTGTGACAGAAGCTTGACTGTGTAGCTTTTGAATTCAAGAACTTTGAGAAAAATAAAAATATATTGATAGGGTAAGTATGCATTTCCAAATGTCTAGATGAAGTTCTTATGCGAGATATACAGGGTGTTCGAAAAATATACGGAGATATTTTAGGGGGTGATTCGTTGTTATAGAATATGAAAAAAAAAGTTTCTATAAACATGGGTCCGGTAATGTACAGTTTTCAAGGTACAGATAAATTAAAAAAAATAATTTATTAGAAAAAAATCGCAAATAAAATTACGTGAATTTTTTTCCTAGAAGAATTGACGCGAAAATTTCAAACCTCTATGCAGAAATTATTTTTTGTGAAAAAATTAATAAACCAATTTTGTCCAATGACATGCAATAAAACGGTTTTTATTTTTTTTCTCGAAAACGCAGATACGAAAAAAATACAATAAGCGAAGAAGTTGCATTTTTATATGCCTAATCAAACAATAAATATTAAAGTTACAAAAAAGGCAGCGTACATTTTTTTGCCAACAATATCTGCTAAGGTGTCCCCCGGGACGCCTCTGGCCCTTACAATTTTAATCTATCTATGGCTAAATAACCCCTTAACACAACAAATAATATTGCTAAATTTCAACAGAAACATGTACATATTTTTTAAGATATTAATAAAAATAGAACGTTTTTTTTAATTTATCACCCTGTATCTTGAAAACTCTGCGTTCCCAGACTGATGTTTATATAAATTTTTTTTCATATTTTTTAACAAGGAATCGCCTTCTTAAATATCTCCGTCTAATTTTTGAACACCCTGTATAATGTTGATTCACAGCTATATAGAAAAAAATGCTAGAAATCCACTGTCTGAGAACCATTTTTTAGGTTCTGTAGCACAAAATCCTTAAAAGTCCGTACTGAGATATTTTCATCAGAAATTCTGTCTGAAAAATCGCTTTTGTTGATGTAAAGTTATGTTAATGCGCTCGATAATATGGAAATAGGAATAAAGGATTGCAGAACAGTCATCATCAAATAGAGGAAACGTGCGGTCAATTTGTTATTGGTTTAAAACATTTGAAAAGCAGCCAAAATAGGTCTCAAAAGCGCCTGGCACTTACTCTTTAATACTTCGCATAATTCACATGATAACCTTTATAAATTATAGTTGAAAATTATCATTAAAAGAATGTCTTAATGAACCTTACATATCCCTGACTTGAAAATTAGGTGCCCAAAACGGATCCTTATTAAGAACAAACAACAAAAATTAGAGAGATAGGAAAATAACATCCTTGGTTGGTAAAGTAACATGTGAAAGAATATGATACAGAAAGGAATATTTATGAAAGTGAAAAGGCTTATTACATAATTTTTTATTTCGTCATTCAAATTTTATAGAAATTTATTTTGCGATGTCAATATAAAAGACAACTCAACACCTAGATGTGAGGCACTGCGAAAATGTTTGAAGTGTGATGCGTCATTCCTAACTTTTTTGAGATTTAAAAAAAATATTGAGCCAATCGTTACAATTCTTTAAAAAATGCTTGCCTTTCATCGGCCTTTTCAGGCGAGGAAACAAAAAAAAGTCCGGGGGCCACATCTGGGCTGTAGGGCGGCTGCGGAAGCGTTGGGATGCCGGCCTTGGTCAGGTAGCTGTTCACAAGAAAGGCGGTGTGAGTCAGGGCGTTGTCGTGGCGCAACTTAGCGTCGACGGTTTGTCCAGGAGGAACAAATTCATGGCGGACGATGTCTTTGATGTCAAAAAAGACAATGAGGATCGTTTTCACTTTGGATTTGCTCATTCTTCCCTTTTTTGGGCGAGGAGACGCCGTCGTGTGCCACTCGGAAGATTGCCTCTTTGTATCGGGATCATACTCAAAGATCCACGACTCGTCACCTGTGATTACGTTATTCAAACATTGGGGGTCACTTTCACAGATGTTCAAATTTTCTTGGCACACTTCCACTCGCCGCAATTTCTGGTCGTCAGTGAGCACTTTTGGGACCATCTTCGCGCACACCTTGCGCGTTCAAATGCTATGTCACAATGTCATGAACCACAGATTTTGGTAAATTTAACATCTGGGCAATTAACCGAATACTTAGTCGATGGTCTGAGTTCAAAACTTTGCGCACACGAGTGTATGTATACTTGCTTTCTGCAACCAACAGTGCGTGTAGTTGAGTCATTCCTCCATAGATGGACGCTCACAGCGATCATAGCGAGCAAACCTGGAAACGATTTGCACCCTAAAAACTACCTAGTCTGCAAGATGACATTTTGAAGTTCTTTTTGACATTTTATAGGTTTTTTATATAGTAGTCGTGCCGGTTTGAATGACCAAAAATTTGTTTATCCATACGAAAATTACGACCCTGGGGTCTTGCCACTTGAGGAAATATATAGCTATAAAGGCTTGCCTGCAAATACCAAGGTGTGTAATAATGAAAGTTGCAGCATTGCGTAAACATTTTTCCACTATCAAAACACCTAATTGTCGACATATGTACATATAACATAAGGTGCACGTACTACTATTTACACTTGAGAATGAGACTAGGGGCCCACTTTAGGGCACTTTCCTCTACTATAAAGATGATCTAATACAGGACCACCATACCGTGCGAATCATTTATGGTTGAGGTCGTCAGGGTTTTAATGTGTGTGTGTGTGTGTGTGTGTGTATGTGCGGGTGTATGTGTGTGTGTGTGTGTGTGAGAGAGAGAGAGGCGAAAGAAGCGTAGAACACTCATGCTAGAAAGAGTGCTCTGATGAGTAATCACCACGTTGCCTGCCAACGACAGCGAAGAACTAGCACTTTTTCTAACATACGGGACGCACGTTCCTCTTTCTCGTGCACATCGAAACCTGGTCGACATCAACCGTAAATGACTGGTACGGTATACTGATGGTATAATAATCATAAGGTCTTATAAACACTACTAGAATTGTCACATACGAGGGCAAAGATGGAGGCTTTACAAGGCGAGGATCTAGTGAAGCTACACGGCCAACAACTGAGCCTCATCGAACTGATGAATTTCATGAGAAGAAGTGCCAGGACACAGGAGATCCAAAAACGGGATAAGTTGGATTCTAGCGATGGAGCAAATATTGACGAACACGATCAGTTTTATAGAGATCACAAGTTGCTGCTTGCTTTATTCAGGGTAAGTATTTTTGGGCAACAATCCACGCAAAAGTATTAGATCACTGGAAAATAGAAAATCAAATGGAATATCTAAAGTCGGAATGGAAGACTTTTATGTACCCAAAAAATATACAAGTTCATTGATACGGCGGTAGCTACGCCTCTGCAGGTATATTTTCACAAAAACTTGCCTCTATTCGATGATCACTACCCCCCTTGTGAAAAATTCTTGCTGGCGTCCATGATTCCGAAGCTGAATTCTCTTAACTTTCAGATATTGGCCGTGATGCCAGTTCAACGTGGGAAAATAGGCAAAATCACCTTCGGATGGACCAGTGCCCCAATGATCTATGCTTACATTTTCTATGTGGTCACTACAGTGATCGTGGTAATGGTTGGCATTGAGCGCTTCGACATTCTACTGAACAAGAGCAAGAAGTTCGATGAGTACATCTACTCAATCATCTTCATCGTCTTTTTAGTGCCGCATTTCTGGATACCGTTTGTTGGTTGGGGCGTGGCTTATGAAGTGTGCGATTATAAGAATGGATGGGGTTTTCTCCAGTTGCATTATTATAAGATTACCGGTAAAGGAGCGTTTAGAATGGGTGGACATGAAACGTCGCCTTACGTATTCTACCTAAAGATAGCCAAACATACGGCATGTGAAAATACTAGCTCCATCTATGAGACAGAAGGAAAACACACTTTTTTGTTTTTAGAGTGGCTTTGATGCCTGAATATGAAAATCATTGGTTTGATCAATCATTAACCTCCTTTCACAAGTAATATTTATCACTAGAGGCAATCTATTGATGACTTTTAAATCAAATTCAAGCGGATAACCAAATGGAAATGGTATTTACCATTTTGGGTTGGTATTTACCGATCCGTTCAAGCGAGTGTAGTTATCAGTTTGGTTATAAGATCCGTGACGTCACGAATCAGCTGTTATATGTCATAGTTATTACCGCAAAATTGTGGTATTTACCCAACTCAAGAGTAGTTTTATATTTCTGGTTATTATTTGAAATGTGACAAGTTAGAATTTTGCCCGGTATTGGATATTGTTATTGTACTTCAGCTTCATTTTTGAGAAAATTGATACAGGCTGACTTCAGTTTTACCATAAAGTGGAGCACCTTATGAGTTATACTCATTACGGTTGTTGGGGACACTTTAAATGTAGTTCCTATGCTTAACAAAGTATCCTATGTAGCCATATACCACAAGAATATTAAAATATGGCCATATAAACTCACTAGATGATATCCACCTGTATACGGTTTTGCTAATTTCTTTTTTCATCATTTCTGCTGAATCAATAAATGTTTTCTTTGACATGCGGAAAAATTTAGAGAATTGAAAGTTATCATAGCTACAAAGCCATGGTTCAATCATAAAAAAAAAATCTGAAAAAACATTTCTCCCATGAATATTATGAAAGGTTTCTTATTTAAACTTTCCATCCGATTATTAAGTGATAATAAAAATAATCAGAGATTATATACGCGCTTTTCTAAAATAAACAACTTGCAACAAAACCGCGGTTAAAACCAACGCGTTCAAGCGGTTCGTGTAACTGACGTCATCAACCCGTGTGTCATCTTGAACCATATTATAACCGCGGCACATAACGCAGAAATTTTGGTTATTCGCTTGGATTTGATTTTAGATAACCTTAACGTACAATTAATACTGTCATTATGAACTCAAGGACATGTGCTTTAATCTTCGGACGGCATTAAAGATTTTTTCGCGAGTCTACGGTGTAGCACAGAGCACTACCGGGAACCGATACTCAAATTTTCGCGAAGAACGGGAATAGGGGAAGACCGATGTGACGTTGTCCGAATGTCAAAAAATCACGTGATACGGGTACCCGCCTAACGTCTGTGAGGTACTAGCGGGTGACAGGTCTTATGTCAACGTCATTTAAAAAACAGGCATCTCAACTGAAAATTTGTATTGACAGTGCTGAAAAGCGAGTTAAATTATTAAATCATAAATGGAGGAACACGTCCATCTGATTTTAAATGACGAGGGAGAAGGTCATCGAAGATAAATGAACCACAATTGTCATATCAAATAATTCATTTCATTGATATGTATGTACCTTGCACAGAAAACGATCGCTCTTTTTATTTCAAATTGAAACAAGGCAGCTAAGATTATCAAGGAGCTTAAAGCGAACATTTTGCGCAACAAGCGCCATCTAACCACTCCCGGTGTAACTTGAAACTGTCAAAACTTCGAGAGGAAGGGGAAATTCCATCTGTTCCCGCTCCGGTTCACTACGGGATCTCGCGAAAAAATCTCTATTGTAGTTTTCAAGCACAGTTTTGCCGAACCGATAAAGACGAAATTGGTAGACAGTGCCGTTGAAGTTCGGTAGATTCAAGGATAGCATCGGTAGAAGAAAAAGATCAGGGTCTTCACAAGATCAGCGATGGATCAAGGGACTTGATGCTTGCGTCACGCAGCGCACGTCTATGAAAAAAGTATATCCTTGCATTGCGGGTATGAACGAGGTCAAGAAATTAAGTGATGATACCGGCAACGTAGCGTACGATCTGCCAACACTGAAGGCGCCGAGCTTTGGGGGGAGACATGGGAACATGTGATCCGCATTCAGTACAAGTTTGAACTCGTTCGAGACATTTAGTTGTCCCTAGCGATTTTTTGGTGAATCAGATTTTTTATTGTATTCTAAAAATGAGTGACATCAATTTCGATCAACGGTATGCTGTTTATTTCCGGTGGTTTAAGGCATTTTAGAAGTGAGAGAGTCGATTGAAGATGAACCTACTTGAAGGGGAAGGACCTCATCTTCAAGAAGTCAGAATGATCGAGTAATAGTTAAATTTACCTCACATGACCGTTCATCAGATCAAGAACGACTGGGTGTTGCATCACCATAATGCTCCTTGTCGAACCTCATTGTCAATAAACGAGTTTTTGGCCAGTAAAAACATTCCTGTGGCTCCTCAGCCTCCTTATCCGACTTTAGTCCTTGTGACTTTTTTCTTATCCTGAAGCTGAAAAATAACCTCAAGGGAGCTCATTTCGGGACAGTCGAAAACATTCAAGTGGTTGTAACCCACCAGATGGAGGCTATTCCAGTATCGGAGTAACAGCACTACTATGAGGAGTGGAAGAACTCCTCCAGCGCAGGAAGAAGTTATTTTGAGGGTGATAATATAAAATTGTAATTATATTTGAACAAATAAATAAAAAACAGTCAGTCTCGTCGCTTAATTTACAGATCTCGTATACAACACATTTTTGTTGAGGGCATCCGTTCCTGAAAAAATCTCAAGTTCTCTCTTACAACCTGTCCAATGAACATTCTTTTCGCTCTTCAAACTCCTTTGCAACCATCATTGGAACTACTTTTGCCATTCTTGTTTATAAGATTCTGGATATTCAAATAGTCAAAAAGAGATAGCAGATCCTAGCGCCATCTACGGTACAGTAGCAGAACTAAACACTACAAATCTTTTCAAAGTAGATTTCTAAATTTACTTTTGTATACTGATACTGCCTGATAGATAGCGCTGGGATTTTTCAGATCGCCTGAATACAGTATAGAATAAAAAAATTTCATTTCAATTTTATTTTGTTTTTCGTTGTATGTCTTCTTCATTCCAATTTATTTTTTTTCTTTGTGATACCGACTATTTTACAACTTTTACTGCAGTCCTCTATTTTATGACATGTTCTATATCATCAACCGATGGTCAACTAATAAAGATTCGGATTCTATATGGTTGGCTATCTTTACGTAGAATTCATGCTCAAAGTTATTATGTTCCTGAAGCCATATAATTGAACAACATAACCAATTTTAGCTTTACTTAAATTACTCACCTAAAATGTCAGCTTATTGGTTTTGGCCCACAAAGTTAGACTCAGCATAAGAAATGGATTGGTCATTTTAAAAACCACCCACGTCACACATTTCGAGAATATTTTTTCTACTGACAATGCTTCCCTAAAGGCAAACGCGTATTTCAAGCATAATCCAAGTTTATTCATCTGCCTTATGTCGTGTTTGTATGCATTATAGGGCGGGTACTTACTTGGTCATTTCAAAATCAGTTCTAGGATCCTTAATTTGTTTTATTTTCATATTTATGTGCTACCAGCTTTCGGATGTATACCACTAACCCTGCTTCCTGCTAAAACGACATACCTAAGTGCAGACTATTTTTTTCAATCCATTGTTTTTTTACACCTATTATTACCAATACGCTATAGAGATTTGTCAACATTTCGATCTTTTGAAGCACAAATACTATATTACGCCCAAAAAAGGCCCTCGAGTCTGGTTTGTCAATTGCACTGTTTTTATTATAATTGTGCAAATGATGAGGTTTTTAAATGACCGATTCAATGATTAACAATAGGCTACTTGATACTTTTCCAAAGTAGGTCTTAAGTAGTTAATACTTGTTCTATTAAGCCAAAAAAACCAATAATATATTTTTTAGACTTAAAAGACCGTAAAACTTCAAATTAAAAATGTTATTTTAGGCAGGCGAAAACACTGTCCGCCATATCTGGCCCATATAGATGCGTTCTGACGTCATACCATTTGTAAACAGCAGCATAACCTCTCAAACTTTCAAACGTATATATAAATATAGCTTCTACTAGTTCACATGAAAAATATACAGTGGACCCCCGATAATCCGACATGTCTTTGAATATGTATTACATACATACGTATTTGACAATCTTCGCTATTGTAGATCACGCGGGTTTGAACAAGTTACAACTTGTACGCGCCACCGCTATCATGCTCGACGCGTAAGCATTGTTTTACTTAGTTTGAATTCGACTACTGGTGATAGCGGTACGGCCTAGCGTACGTTCATTGTTTACTATTTATTCATTGTGTATTAAGTATAGTACCTAGTAATGCCATCACAAACTCCGAAGCGAAAGCACAAAACATTGACAATTAAAGAAAAATGTGATATTTTAGACCGCAATGAAACTTTCAGTAGTTTAGCAAGTGAATACGGCGTAGGCCGATCTACAATTTATGACATTGAAAGAAACCACGAGAAGATCAAGAAGTTCGTGTCAACTACTGACTGCGGGCTAGGCAAGAGACAGACACTCAAGAAAGCTGAACATCCAGAAGTGGAAGAAGCTTTGTACATGTGGTTTCTTAAGGAAAGAAATAGGCATGCACCAATTTCAGGACCCATGTTGGCAATGAAAGCTAAGTTTTTTTATAAGGAAATAACAAAAAAAGATGATTTTGTGGCCAGCAAAGGATGGTTAGAACGTTTTAAAAGTCGTCATGGCATACGTTTAATGACTATTACAGGAGAGAAACTTTCTAACGATGCCACCTGCATAGAGCTCTTTAAATTAAGATTTTTGCAAAAGGTGAACGATTTAAATCTTGACCCGTCACAGGTGTACAATGCAGACGAATCAGGGCTTTTTTGGCGTATGATGCCTAACAAAATTTTCGTTTCTTGTAACGAAAAATCCGTACCTGGACGAAAAGCAAGTAAAGAGCGTGTAACCATACTACCATGTGCTAATGCTGCGGGCACTCACGCGCTTAAGATGATGGTCATTGGGAAATCTAATAAGCCACGGGCATTCAAAAACATTGATTTACCTGTACACTATTACGACAAAAAAGTGCATGGATGACAAAAGACCTTTTCAAAAAGTGGTTTGATGAATGCTTCGTACCTGAAGTTAGAAAATGGTTGAAAGATCATAATTTTCCTCAAAAAGCTTTGTTGCTTCTTGATAACGTTCCCGGTCATCCGTCTGAAGAAGAACTAACAACTGAGGATAAATGCATCACTGCGATGCTTCTTCCGCCAAATTGGACTGCACTGATTCAACCAATGAGCTAGAATATCATTCAGTTTGTCAAGCAAGACTATAAGAAAAATCTACTTCTGAGAGCCGTATCAAAAGAGCAATCAATAGAAAAAACTTTAAAAGAATGTAATATGTATGAAAGACTTGGTTTTTGCTATTTGTCAGTCGTGGAACGCGTTACCGTCATCAACTATTAAATCGTCTTGGAAAAAGTTATGGAAAGATATAGTCACCACTACTAGCAACGTTCCACAAATCAGTGTTACTTCGGAAGTTATAGAACAAGTCGCTACTGGAACACAGATAAGTCCGGAAGATTTGGAAATCTGGTGCCGTGGAATGGATAAAGAGGAAAATCTTTTTCATGAAATGTCTGACGAAGAGATTATAAAAGAGGTTTCTAATTATACAACAAACAATCAGGAAAATAACGACGACGTGATTGCAACTGCTCCACAAGTCACAGCACAAGACGCGCAATTAACGCCTTTGAGCTAGGTTTAGAATGGTACATTCTACAACGAATTTTTACTTTTGAGAAGACCGAAGGACAAAACTCTGATCTCGCATTATAACAACCTTAAAAAAAATTGATGAACATTTCCAAGCTTCATAATTTGATAAAGTCATTAATGATGTTGATTAATAATTCTTGATTATTTTGGTACATATGTATGTGCATTTAGGTATGCTTAATTTTATAATACAACGTAAGCTCTCTATTGTTATTTAATTTACTAAATTCGACATACATAAACTATGTATGATTTGTACTTCAAAGTACATACATATACATAACATATATAATCTTACCATTGGATATGTAATTTGTCGGATTACAAGGTACTCTTTTGTAAAAAATTCTGGGGGTCTTAGGCAGTGCTCTATAATCCGACAAATTCGATAGTCCGACACTGCCCTGCATAATGTTTGTCGGATTACCGGAGGTCCACGTATTGTTGGACCAGCGAAAGATTGCAAGCCGAAAGAATGCGGACAAAAAATTGCGAAGTTGTCAGATGTTCTACATAAAATGCGGTCCATACATATTAACATATTTAAGATATAGAATTGTTCCGCTGAATTTGGCAATGTAGCTGGAAAACCCAGGCCGCAGGTAAACATCCGGTCGCTGATTGGTCCAAAACTCTTATCTTATCTGAAACTAGAATAACGTGCCGATGGCACGGTCATTTATAAACCTACTCCCATAGGCGTAGGCAGTTGGCAAATACTTTGAAAATATAATTTACTGTTTAGTGGTGATAATGGAATTCAAGCATGGGAAAGTTATTCACAGCCAGGCAAGGGAAATAATAGCAAACGTGATACGTGCTTGCGATGCAGAAGCGGCTAACAATACTTTCGTTTATCCACTGGTAGCTAGAAATGCAAGGGCGGCATATTATACGGGTGTTAGTGAACGAACTATAAGTAAAATTAGAAAAGAAGATAAAGACAGGCAAAATGCAACCTCCACACAGCCTTTAGCTTCTCCCGGAAAAAAGAGATCACGCCCTTCTGTGATCCAAAAAATTGATGGAGTCGATTTTTCCATTATTCGGAGAATGATAGAAAAATTTTACTGTGATTTTAAAGTGGTACCTACTTGTAGTAAACTTCTAATCAAACTGAAGGAAGAAATGGAATTTCCATTTGGTAAAGAATCGTTGAGGCTGCTTTTAAAAGCAAAAGGATTTTACTGGCGTAAATGCCACAACAAAAGGAAATTACTAATGGAAAGACCCAGTATTTTACATTGGCGATACAAGTATCTTAGGTCTATTAAAAAGTTCCGGGAAGAAGGAAGGCATATTATTTATTTGGACGAAACTTGGGTTGATAATGACCTCACTTTCAAGAAATGCTGGCAAAGCGAAGAAATTATGGGTGTCCTGAGCAATATAAGTTCTACAGGTAATAAAGTTTCTTTCACCTCGATTTTGCTTATTATACATTTTTCTCAATTTTGGAATATTCTTAATAAGTGCTCATTTAATTTGTCTAATTGAATACATAATCCCTTGCAAGTATTTTTTTCTCAAAAATATGTTTTTTATACATAGTGATTCAAAAAGGTGTTGGCAAACTTAAAATAACACTAAAATGAGGCTATTTATTCATTTCCAGGACGACTTATAATTGTTCATGCGGGTTCGCAAGATGGTTTTGTTCCTGGAGCCTGTCTCATTTTCAAGGCTGGCTGTGCCACTGGTGATTATCACGGTCAAATGAACCAAGAAAATTTCACGAAGTGGCTTACTGAAAAACTATTTCCTAACATTCCTCCTAATAGTATTATAATAATGGATAATGCACCTTACCATTCAGCTTTGGAAGACAAGCCTCCAACTAGATCTTCTCTAAAAAGAGACATCATCACGTGGTTGAGCAAAAAAGGTATAGAGCATGATCCTAATGCTAAAAAAATGGAGCTTTATGAAATAGCTTGTCTACATAGGCCACCATCTGATGAGAAAAATTATAAGATAGATAATTTAATAAGAAGTTTCGGACACACCCCACTTCGAACGCCACCCTATATGTGTCAGTTTAATCCCATAGAGATGATTTGGGCACAAGTAAAATTTTTCATTAGAAGCCATAATACAAGCGGCGAATTTACTATAAAAAAACTAGATGAAATTTCTAATAAGGCCATCGCTTCAGTAAGTGCCAGTGACTGGCAAAAGGTTATTGGACATGTTATAAAAATTGAAGATGAATATTGGGAAAAAGACAGTCTCATTCAAGAAATACAGGAAGAAATAATAATCAACATAGGAGGTGAAAGTGATAGCAATGACAGTTCCTCAGACAGTGATCATGACTCTAATCAGGATTGAAACTATACTAGATTGGCTACCTTTTAGAATTTTTAGATATTCATTTATTATACTATTGGTTTGTGGCTTTTAGTATCTCAGTAGAAAGTCTAATTCTATGTGTTGTTTATGGGTTATTTCATCAAGAAATTACTTTTTGTTTTCCTATATTTTTCTATTCAGTCAGATATTTTTGACTTGTTGTATTCTATTTTAGAAGAATGCATAATTTGTTTTGCTGTTCAATCATAATGCGTACATAGGAATATTACTTGTTGCCTAAAAAATATATTTATTTTGTTCTCAATATTCAGTGTTTGTGTATATTTATTTCTTATAATGTATGTTTGGTATCACGTCATTATGAATCGCAAAAAAATATTAATACTACCAGTTGTAATAAAATATAAATTCAATTAATAATTCAAGTCTCTCCGATCTCCGCCTATGACTCCATATAAAATCGTCTAATGGTAAGGTTTTTTCATCGCATTTCCCCCTTTCGTCCCTAGCAATCTTTGGCTGGTCGATCAATAGTAATTATCGTTATTGTATCGTCCGAGAATGTAAAAGCACATCTATAAAGACGCCAGGAAAGCTGTGCCCAGGGAATTAAGTACATATACGCAACATTGTGTATTGCTTGGGGCATACCGCATACCTTATGTTCGGGACATATTTTTCATTTTACTGTGCAGATTTTATCGTCTCGTTTAAGTTGGACATAACCTAAGGCATCATCACGGTACGATTCTTTTGCCCGATGTGTGAGGAGGAATATAATATTAGATAAAATTATTCACAGGTTATGACAGATGATTTTAGTTTTGAATAACTTCTAAAAAGAAAGATCATGTAACTGTATTGCTTACTCTTTCTTATTATGTCTATCATTATATCAGATGCACTTACGAATATATAGAAACATCGATGTTCCTCAGCTCAGTAGAGCAGAAATCTGGTTGAAGGCAAAAAAATAGAAACCATCAATCTGGAAATTTTCGGTAAATTTGTGCTTTCTGCTTTTACGAATTCAACGTCTATGACGCGGAAACTATAACGTTTTTGATTAGGAGTTTTTTTTATAAATATTCAAAAAAAACTTTATTCAACGGGTGACATGCGGATGACGTTTCTTTGTTTACGATTTGTATGACGTCACATCATGGCCGATAGTATTTTCAGTTTCCCCATTAAAAATCACAAATCTACCTTTGGATCTATATATCCATCTTGAGTCTTTAAGAATTGAAATCGATATATTTCGTTTTCCTAATGCAAATAATTTAAGAAGTTACTCATTTATTCTATGAAATGAGCTATGAGTCAAGTAGCATATTGTTAGCTATTTGCTAATGGCTGACATAGACACTCATGCAATTCGTACGTTTTGCTTGTGAAGTCTTAAATCGTTAAGTAAGATGGAGTGAGTGTGTGTGGTAACAAATCGCCCGTTTCCGGTCTTTCGACAAACGCTTGTAAAAACCTCAGAAGGTTGATTTTGTGCTTGTACCATACCGCTTGAGGAAAGCTTTTATCAATATGCTTAACACCACTAACACATCATCTTTCATGACAACTTAACTGACAAGCAAATCGTACGATTAACTTGAGTATATACGGCAACCTTAACACGTTATTATTGCAGGTAAAAACATGGAGTTCCCTCTGCTGAGCACCCTGATCGTAATAATCAGCCTGGGCTGCTTAATTGTAGCCGTAATTTTCCTTTTGACACTTAGCGCCCTGATGGAAGGGTACACACTGTACCACACCACGGCCTACTATCATATAATTACGATGATAAACATGAACTGCGCACTGTGGTACATCAATTGTAGAGCTATCGGTAACGCTAGCACTGCATTAGCTGACGTATTTCAAAAGGTACATTGTATGGTAGCTGTTTTATATGAAACTAGTTGGACCATGAAAGGCCACCATAATAAATAAACAGTTGTTTTTCCTAAAAAAACAAATGTGACTATTTTGATTTCTTATGTACCTTACCAAACATTTTTTTTGTTGCAGCGTTAATCAGTATTTAGCAAATTTAATAATATATTATCTCTCTCTGTCTATAACAATAATAAGGCCGATACAATAAATAGTTGGAGGTGGTAGACAAGAACTAGTCGATCGAGGCGGTACCACCCGTTAGTTTTTTCGAAGGGGTCTTGAGAATATCCGCATGTTTCCACAGCTATGCAGTTATCGTCCACAAAAAAGAACTTAATGATGATCGTATATCTCGAGTACTAAGAATTCCGAACTTAAACTCACATCACTCTCGGAATGTCCGGGTGGAGGGTGGACTCGAGGGAACAACATCGATGATAAAATTTGTTTCACGAACATCTACGGGATTAACAGCAACATTGATGCTGTTCATCGCTACCTGCAATCTAATCGTCTCGCCACGCTTTTCTTGGCGGAGACAAAAGTCTCAGAGTCTGCAACGATTAATCATCTTAGCTTTCCAAATTACGAGGTGCACTCCAATCTGAGAAAGAACGGGTGAGTTGAAGCGTTCGCTATGACCCAACGACTGACGCAGGCTGGTGACGAACCCGGGTCCAACGGCTGATTCCACAAAAATGGCGACACTACTCATCAGCAGAAGATGAAGACATACAGAACCTTCTTACAAAACTCCACTGTACTATGGTTTCTGGCACCAGTGATTTGCAGGGGACCTCCTAGCCTACGTCAAGCAATTGTGGATTAGACTCATCCAGTCTTATGATGAGGCTCATTCATTGCTCTTGATGTCACGAAAGCGTTCGATCAGCTGTGACACGCTGCTCTCTTATGTAAACGTCCATCCTATGATCTCCCACAGAAGCTTTGCAGATGAGTGGCTGACTTTCTCTCTGACCACCAGATATCCGCCGTAATTGACGAGTTCTCCTCTTCATGCCACAACCTCAACGTGGGTGTTCCCCAGGGATCGATCTTAACTCCGGCACTGTTGCTCTTACATATCAACGACCTCCTTTCATGTACGATCAACACAATCCACAGCTTTGCTGAGGACAGCACTATGCATGCAGGAATTCAGAGCGACAAACTGATCTCTGCCGATGAGCTGGAAAAAGCAAGACTAGCAGTGACTTCCCCTCTGATGAGGGACCTGGAGGTTATCACTGTTTGGGGAGGCAATAATCTTAATGCTCCAAAAACACACTAATGTACCTTGATGAACAAAAAACATTCTAGCGATGATACGGTTTCGATGGATGGCCGTGTTTCACCAAACAGCCATATATTTTGGCTGGTCGGAGTCCAGAACACTACATCCCGTGAATAGCGGCAGCTGCTGGGAAACTAATTGTTTAATTCTCTACTAGACAGATTCGCCTAACTTTGGCCTCCCATCCTAACCGTGTCAAACTTCGTGTATAAAAAAAACCTGCCGATATGACCGCTCACTTGTCCCGAAAGTATCGCTTGGGCGCCATGTCTGGCATTTCGGCTTCTGCCTGCGCGCCTGCAAAAAAAAATCAGTTGTTTGACTTGAAATTAACGTTGTGATCAAAATATCTGCCTATGCTACTTAAATTACATGAAAATGAATCATCAAATACCTACAATAATATATTCTCATAAAAAATGCTCAACGAACAATACTGAAAGGCTATCGTAAAACTAACAAAATGTTTAAATAAAAAATTACATTTCATATTATTATCATATCGATATCAATTAAGCTGTCAATAACCTTTATGATGGAATAAAAAAAATTGGACATACCAAAATGATTCCTAAAAGCCCTTGTGCGCGAGCAATGCCAACTACCAATTTCTTAATCGGCCTTACAAGTAACCATTGACCTTCCTGGGAACACTCCCTAAGTTTTAACTAAAATGGAAATACAGTAATAAGCTATTGCTTTAGTACCATAGCAAATACCTAGATCACTTCAACAATTAAAGAAAACTGCAAACCTGCGTTTTGCTGTGTATACCTTTAAACTTTTATAGAGAGACCTCAAGTATATTTTAATTCGATATCCGAAATGAGACTATTTCTTGAACCACATTGAATATATACGATACTGTACTATACGCTTTGAGTTATGTAGTACATTATATACAGACTTCCTTAAGCATATAAAGTATCCGTCGTATCAAACCTTCATTATTTATACTACATCGTCTTTTTAAAGAGAGAAGAGCGCATGCAAGCATAATGATAAAATGATGCGTATCAGCCTTCCGACATTAACTATATATCACGTTATTTCAGGATATCGAATATCACTGCACATCATATATTATCTCCCGATACAGAAGTTTATGGCTCGAACTGAGCGAACTTTTACAGAAACTGGGAAACGCATATGCTCGGACTTACTCTACTTATTCGTTATTTATGATCACCAATATCACTATTGCCGTGAGTACAGACATACTTTGTTATTTGTTGCATCCTATAGTTGATTTTTACTTTGCACGCCAATATAGGCTAGTTGTCGCTTTTCCAAGTAGGCTTAGAATAGTTAATCATACAGAGTATCGTTATCTAGGCGGGATTAGTTGTAGCAACGATCATATGCGCCTCTATCAATTTCTCTCTTGGGGAGGAGGAAGGTTATTTAATATTTTTTGTTATACAGGTTCGTAATAATAATAATATAAAGCTTATATTTTCACCTCGCAGACAATCAGCAAATGCCAACCAGGGCTCCATGTATACAATATTAAAAAAAGTACATACGAGGGATGTCTTTTAAGTTTTGCATATGGAAATAAAACAACACGGTAGGTAGTTTTAAATGACTTTATTGTTTTTCGAAGTATTATCCACGAAGATTAATACACATCTGCATGCGCTCGAACCAATTTTCGAAGCACTTATTCCATTCGTTTGCTGGCAGATCCAAAACGGCATTTTTGAATGCGTCAACTGCTTCTTCTGGTGACTGGAACCTTTGACCACGCAGTCGGTTTTTAATTTTCGGGACTATATGGAGGATGGTCCAATAATTCCACGTTTTCTTCCGTGCCTTGTTTTTTAGGCTGGGTGCGAACTTGCATTGTCTTGGTGGAGGATGATTCTTCTTTCGGGGTTGATTCTTTGAAGCTCGGTGATGACTTCTGGCAAACAAATGGTGGTATACCAATCCGCAGTAACAGTTCTTTGCTCATTAAGAGGAATTGTTGCAATATGACCCGCTTTTGACACAAATGTCGCGACCATCTTTTTCGAAACACTTCGAGAACGGATGACTTTCGTTGGCTTTTCTCACCTTGGAACACTCAAACAGCCGACTATCGTTTATTTTCTGGTTCATAACAGTAAATCCACGATTCATCACCTCTAACAATGCTGTACACATTTTTTGAGTTTGCGGAATTGAAACGGTCAAGCGTTTTTTGACACCAATTAACCCTGGCTGCTTTCTGCTCTTCAGTCAACAGGTGGGGTATCCAACGAGAAACTAATTTTCTTACTCCTAATTCTTCACATAACATTTTTTGAATTGAGGTCTTGGTGATCTTCAAGGACGCCTCAGTCTCGCGATACGTCACATGTCTATCTTCATTGATGAGTTTGCGCACAGCATCGACGTTTTCCTGGGTGACTGCCGTTTTTGGTGCACCCACCATGGGATCGTCGCTCAGACTCACCCGTCCATGTTTGAATTCTTCATACCAACGGGAAATTGTCGACTGATGTGGCGCTTCGTTGCCGAAAACAGATAGTAACTCACCAAGGCATTATTGTTGCGATAATTGTCTCTGAAAGTTGTAATAAATTATGGTGCAAAAATGCTCTCGGTTGAGATCCATTTTTCTAAAGACTTGGTGACACTTAAAATTTCACTGTAGTGAGAACACTGCACGTATTGTTGTGAAACTTTGAATTTAAGTTTACTAAAGAGTAAGGTTAAGATTCAGTACTGATGTCGCGCGGCCTACTATGTTTCTATATGCACAACTTAAAAGACATCCCTCGTATAAGGTACCTGAACCAAATATGGGCACTGACCCAAACTTGGACACTATCATGAATAAAATAATTCTAATACAGGTCTGACTGTATTTTACATTTACATAGCTACTAAGCATAGACAAACTCACTGCATGAGTTGTTCCGTATGTTATCTACGAGGGGGCGCTGTACAATACGTAAATAGGTGAAAATTGCTGCCGTGCATGCGGACCTGTAATATACTTTTGTCCATTTTTTATTGTAAATGTAAATAAAATATTGATCACCATATGTCAATGTGAAGCTGGCAACTTTTAGTTGCCTATAGTGTCCATGGTTTTTACATATAAGACTGCAGAAGTAAGTATTGCTTGAAAAAGTCACATAGTTCCATTTTGCTATTATGAGCACTCGTGAAGGGGCCAAATATGAGCAGTGCCCATATTTGGAACACTATCATTTTTTGCTCAATTGAACTATGTATTTTCGCGCTGGGCCCATTTTTCTAGAAAATGACGCCAAAAAAAAAAAGAAGAGCTTTAGTGGAGTTTTGATTCTTTGAGTGACGCTGAATTTTGGTGTACCATGGAGCACTTTTCAACGCCATGCCAGATCTGGAAACAAAGTGAAACGTTTGGGTCTTGACTGAGATCCAGGAAGACGAGTTGTGTTCAAGAATATTTAGGCTTGCTGAGGTAGGAATGCCCCTTAAATCCAAAATATTACGCAGAAGTGTACACCCCTTTTGGCAAATGAACAATATTGAGTGGCCGTTTAACAATCAACAGTCAACTCTGGTTGGAAGGGAATGACTGAACTTAGTTCTCAGACGGCATCCTAACGTTTCTCGAAGAAAATTCCAAACGTTAACTCAGCACGCGCAGTAAAG